TTTGAGCAAGTGTGAACTTTGGCTTTTATAATTACCGGAGCCTGGTATTGATGCGCGTGCGCGCGATATAAACAATGTCAATCGCAGGCAGCTGTGGCTGTTTGGTTAGGCGAGGGATAAGCGATGATGAGAAGCGCGAAGTTTGTTCGGCGAAAATTGAGCACCAACGATACTACGCGTCTCTGGAATTTCAGGCGGATATTTAGGTGCCAGGCTTTTAATATTGACTTTTAATATTAACGAATGATTTTAGCGCGTTCGACTTGATTTAGTACCATTTTTCCAGTAAGTTAATTGAACGTTACGTTTGAGAGGGCCTTCTGCGAAAGCCCACATCTCAATGTTCGACGGCTTTCAAATTTTGTGGTGGCATTGAAATTATGTTGTGGCGGCTATAGAGAAATGACTTTTACCACATTACATGTGCACGGGCATATTATTTATATATATATATATATATATATATATATATATTGTATAAAGATTTGGTATAAATGTTGAATTAGCTTTCCGTGTGTTTGGAGCTTAGTGATAAGAAATTTAGAAACTGGTATCGATTCTTATCATTTCTTTATACGCTTCTATCGCATATAGTCGTGTGTGTTTGACGTACCAAGGCAAGAAATGTAAAAATAATAATTTTATACACGCGATCGTTTCAATTTGCCTGTACTAAGATATTAATAATAACATAATAACATTAATAATGATACGTTATATTAATGTCGGCCAAAGTGTCGTAGCAATAATAAAGAAGAGTTATGAGAACATCAATGGCGCCATTTTCATCGTTTTAACTGTTTACACTATTATTGTAAAAGAGCTCTTTACGCAGTAAATAATTTATCTTAGAGTTTTTAATGTAAAAAAATATCTTAATCAATGTCTGAGCAAAACAAGCAAAACATCTGTCAAGAATATTTGAAGAGAGAAGAGATATAATTTAATTTCATACTCTAAGCCAAAGAAAAGTATTATCAAGCACGATAACGGAATAAAAAATTTGCAAAATTTATCGAACAAATATTTCCTAATAATACACAAAATTTCGTCACCGTATTTCATATTACGTTATTTAATAATTTAATGCGAGCGCAACATCACGTGTACGCGTAAATACATAAATGTCAATTAATTAGTCGTTGCAAAATGTTTTATTACAAAAGTTAACAATCCGCGCCTATTCCAATTGGAATTCCACCCCAATGACTAATAAACTTCTTTCGTTCAATGTTAAATTATTATAAGTTGCTTATATTTTCTATAGATTTTCAATGAAAACATTGATTTGGACAAATTTTCGATAAACCACTTCACCCAGTGTCACAAAAATTTATGCAAACAAGAAAACTTCCGATAGTGCTTTCGATGACATTGCCGGTAAAACTTCAACACGTAAATACGCACAACTTTGTATAGCCGAATGATCGAATATTTCCATTAAAGCGACGAGTATGAATCGATCGTAATGGTGCTATTTCTCGCTCGAAGCAAAAACTGCGCGGCAATAAAATCCTCCCAAGCATATTCCTTCCCAAGCGTACCAAACAATAAGCTCATCTCCGCAAAATCTTATCAGCTTTCATAATGCAGCGCGCGACAAGACATGGAGACAAAAAACGAGCGAAGCCGAGCAGAGAATATTCTTCCTTGCCTCCACTTCCGTCGGACTTTTCAGCTCTCGGGCGATTCGCTATGGCGACCCAAACGACTTGACTAACAAGGTGTTGCGGTGTTCTCGAGCGCGAGCGAGCGCCTCTTCTTAAGAGGAAAAAAAGAAATAATCGAAGAAGCCGGAGTAGAGCGAGAAAAAAGTACGGGAGGGAGAAAATTACGTAATGTCGATAATGGGCGGCAGTGGATTTATCTTAAATTCGAGTGGTAAGTTCCGGGCGACTGCTTGCAACTCCAGGAAAACTCCAAATCAAAGAAACATCGTGGTTTCCCAGCCTCTGCGTGTAAGAGGTTTTTGGCATCATTACACGCTGGTCTTTTATTGCGTGACAACATTTAATTACCCATTGTTAATCCAAGATGTGTATGTCGTGGCTAAATAAACTACTTTTGCTTACTTTATTTTTCTTTTTCTTCGTGATTGTTGTGTACGCTATTCTTTCAGATTACCTTTCCCTCCTTTCAGACTTTCATTTTCCAAGTATGCTACTTTTAGGCTTGAAAATGTACATACTCAGGGAAATTTATATTCGGTAGTTAAAGAAGGGAATTATATTATGAGAATTATGAGATTATATTTTCGTCGTATTATTAGTTATGTTGTTGTTCGTAGGTCAATTAAATTCGATTTTTTCTTTTTTTTCTTTTTTTTAGGACACGAGCATTGTCGAATTTATAATTCGACCATAAAAAAATGATTATTGCCTTACTTTTATTGCATACTACCGCAAGTATAATTAATAATAAAAAATATAAAAACGAACTTGGAAACTTCGTAAGAAAGAATAACATATCAAAAGATATTTAATACACACTTCTATAAGCAAAGGTATAAAGATTTTAGATAGAATCTTATGATATCCCTGCCTTAATTCTTTTAACCTCTTATATATTTTTCTAATAAAGTATTCGATCAAATTATCAATGTCGGGATAATATGGTATACCAACCCTTTTTATCATCCAATGAAATCTTTGTATTTTAAATACTTAAAATGATGCCATTCAATTTGTATTTATGACTCTCAAGTTATTTCCACTATAAAATAATATACTTCTATATACGTACATGTATGCACATATGCGCATACAAACATGCATATTTGTATAAATGTTTATTTAATAGATCAAATGAATAAAAAGAAAAATTTATATAGCAAGTGAATGTATGTGGGTTTATTTTAATGGAGATTTGTTATCAACTACCTACAAAATGAATATCAATATTATTTTGAAAAATACTATAGAAGTAATACTATTACTTTAATACGCCAATAAAATCTGTGTCAATAACATTTTGATAAAATTTTGGATGTTCAGTTGATTTTCCTCCAGACGAAGCAAGGGTCAAAAGCATATTCCACTGTAAGAAAAAAGCAGCAGCATAAAGAACGAACATAATAACTCAATTTTTTTCTGCTAAAACATTAGTTCCCTCATTCTTTTAGTAATTTCAGCAAAATTACTTATTAATGGTCATAAATAAGAATTAATTTGATTACAAGTGATTATATATACATCCAAATAATTATCTCGATTCTATTAGCTTTTTTAATTTTCCTTTAATAGGATAACCAAGTACTTTAATAGGAAAGCTGCAGCTTGCATCGTAAAATTACAACTTTTTCTCAGCGAGTACCTTAACCGTGGCTGTGGGACGTTGTCGTTGTCGACGTTGCCGTTGTCGTTGTCATTGTCGTTGTGCTTGTCGTCGTTGTCGTCGTTGTCCTTGTCTTTGTCATCGTGCAGCGAGAGACTAATTTTAATTTCCCAGTTTTTCCTCGCCCAGGCTACTTACACATTATCCCTCAAACTTTCGCTCCTACGCCCTTCCATTGCACTCCAGTTGCTAAGAACAAGCTTGCGCACGCACGACCGCCGTGGCTAATTTTCGCAGAGGAAGAGAATAGACGTATAATTACTTAACGCCTTCAAGAGACCCTTACTTTCCCCCCTTCCTCATTCCCCCTTCCCGCAAGCAGCCACCGTCAACCCACGCTGTAATCCCGTATTCCGAGCTTTTATTAAAAGCGCACAGCGAGCTTAACAAACAAAAAGATCCGTCCGTATGATACACAAGAATCATTATAGAAACAACTATATCTTTACGCGTTTAACTTTCGTTAATGAATTAAATTTTCATTAATTTCACTCGGAAATTGCAAACCGATAACGCTCCGCGCCTATTTTGTTTAATTTTAATTAAAATAAACAACATTCCTGCGGAGTAAATATTTTTAGTGCATTACAATTCAACTCCTCTCCATAAAGTTTTAATAATGGAATATTCGTCAGTCGGATAATACTGTTAATATAGACGTGATGCAGCTAAAGATAATTAATCGCTACAAACACATCGATATTTTTCAACAATGTCTAAACATACCAAATGGAATGTAAAAAATGTAAAAGTAAGAAATAACTGTGCCGACAAAGTATCTCTCTCTCTCTCTCTCTCTCTCTCTCTCTCTCTCTCTCTCTCTCTTTCTTTCTTTCTCTACTGAACAGGCCTCAGTGCTCAACATCTTGGAATCAATTTTTCGAAAATCGTCCACTGGCAAACGTTCGAAAAGATTGTAAGCGGCTCCGTGGCTTTAGCTACGCGCCGGCTCACTATTTTTACTCCATTGAATTCCCTCGGGTTCGCGCGCGCACGGGCCAGAGCCTTATCAGCACCAATAAAGTCCACTTGACCTGGAAATCCGCCAGCGAGCACATCCGACTCAGCCGTCCACCTCCCCTCGTGGTACTTGCCCGCCCCCGCCACCTCGTCGCTCATTCTCGTTCTCTCATTCTCACACTCTCTCGCTCTCGCTCTCGCTCCCCCGCCTCTCACGGCTCCTCGCGCGTGCTCGCACGACTCTAGGAGCGTCCGGAAAGGCGAGAGGGCCGGAAAAGGAGAGGACGCGAGCCACGGCCGGCGAAAAAGAAGGAGAAGACCGGCAGCTCCTGGACGATTAATAGGAATATAAATTGATCGGCGCTTTTTGCCGCTCGCGAACGAGCGAACGTCCGCCGTATGGAGCCGGGAGGGAGGCCGCGGCCGAGGAGCCATCTTGCGGCGGCTTCGGCCCGGCCAATTGATTCGTCCCCACCAGCGCGGCGCCTCCACGCGCCTCGTCCCTATTCAATTCCGGGCGCCCCGTCAAGGGGAAGCGTCGTCCTCCCCGCCCGCGGTAGGCGTGACCCAGTGCGCGCTCCCATTGGCGCCCGGCCGATCCCCGGAAGCTCGGCCAATGGCGGCCGCGCTCACGGTGGGGGCAGCCGAGGCGTGCTCGGGGCCGAGGAGTCGAGTCCTGGTGCGCTCCGGCCAGACAGTGCCGTGCCGTCGCCTCGTGCCCTCGTGCAGCCGTTGCCGCTGTCGCTCGCGTCGCGACCTCTCTATTATTTGCCCAAATCTCCGTTCGCCTGTCGGCTCGACTGTTCGTCCCCAGGTCCGGGAGCGCGACGCGAGCAGCACAGACAAGCGTCTGACCTGGGACCGAGTGCGCGCCCGAGGAGTGCATGGAGGTGGCCGCCTTCGCTGCAGCGGACGCGGGCTTGCCCCCGGGAGTCCGTGGGACGTCGGGGCCGGCGTGACTCGAGCGCCCGCTTACGACGATCGGGACGATGAGGGCCGCCGAGTGAACGACGGACGCGCGGAGTGCCGATGAGCAGCGAGCTCGAGTAGAGCGCAGCCCGGCTGGCTAAGCTGATACCGAACATGGTGCTGGAGCCGGGGGGCGGCTTGTCGTTCCCGCCGCCCCCCGGCGGCGGCGGGGCCGCCGCCGCGAGCTCCGCCGCGGGTGGACCCGGGGCCGCAGCCTCGCTCCTGGGCCCGACGCGGCTCTTCCAGCGCGCGACCCCCGTCTTCCCGTTCCACCTGCCGAGTTGGCACCACCCGGTGCTGGGGCAGGTGCAAAGCCAGGTACAGCAGTCGATGCAGGCACAGCACCAGGTCGCGGCCGCAGCGGTGCGCTTTCTGAGCCACCATCCGCACCACCCGCACCACGGGCATCCAGCACTGGGGAGCCATCCGCTAGTGCCGGGGGTCGGTGCCCACCATCCCCAGGCGCATCACTTGCATCACAGTACCGAGCACAACGAGGATGACGACGATAAGAAAGGTGAGCGCCGCTGGACGCGTAGTCCACGCCGATCTTCCCTTACCGGGCTGCTACCTCTGACATCCCTACCTATCTAATCGTAACCTATCCGCTTGTCGAGCACAACGCGTTCAGGTGCTCTCGACACCTTGATAAACTATCTACATAATCTCTAGAGTCGCAAAAGAGCCGATACAACTCCGATGATCCAGGCGTGCACATTACCTCAAGTACCTTAACATTATCTCCTCCTCGCGTTATTTCTTAGTTTCTCGACCTCTCCGAGCGACGCGGTGCCCCCGATGCTTTATTAGCCTCTTAACGTTGTTCTTGCCTCGGTATTCAGCAGCTCGTCTTCATGAGTTTTTGTATCATTATTTCCGAGGCGCAACTGCTTTCATGGAATGCTTGTAAAACCCTTTAATGAGATCTTGAATGAAATAATCGTCGAGATTGTCTGGACTGGATTATTGTTTTTGTCTCGGTTTCATCCTGACTTACGGCCTAATTAACAATCTTCGATGATAATCGCTTGCGAATCATACAATCAACATGTACCTATGTAAGTTTATGAAAATATGGGTAAGATTTTCGTTAACCAACAAGCATTGGCTTTCCTCATAAATATTTATAATCATACAATCGAGCATTTAAAGTTTTCGGCTAATTGAGCTTGTCGAATGGCAATTGGCATTCCCTCGCAGGATATTTCTGCTAAGGGAATTACTTCGTGCGCGTGTAGCAGCAGACTGAACAGCATGATGAATGATCCGAGATATCCTGGATATTAAAACGAGATAAAATTATTCTCATCCAAATGCAAAATGTGGTTAAAAGTCATTATTACGTCCCTGTAAGAAAGGAAATGCCAATGAGTATTATCGTAAGTGAAACCTTTACAGATACAATAACAATAAAGCTGAAAAAAATTACGATTGGCTGTTAATTAAGTGCATAAAGTATAAATGATTCGAAAAACAATTTACAATTCGCGCGTTAATCATTAATTATCACCAACACATAACCTGGCTTCCTACGTTATAGTTAACGGAAATATTTGACCAAAAAAACTCAATACAATGGACGACTGTAAAACCTTAAGTGAAAATAAATCATTTATGGGGTCCAACTATATTCGCATCTAGCGTAAGGAATAAAAATCATAAACACTAGACAGACAGTAAGGAAATGTATGTAAAATGCTATAGAAGTGAAATCGAACAGAAATTGCATAAGGATGAACATTTTTTACGCTCATAAGTTAAACAGTGAAAATGTTTTTGCTTGAGAGAGCCGTTATTCAAACTTTCCAATTGTCACATTAAGCATCCGTGAAGCTCTGCGACGAGAGACATTATTCTCTCAACCTCACGGACTAATTTTCCACCACAAATTTTAAATCAAGATAAAGAGAAAGAAAATTGGCTGTACTTGCGGAGAGTGGAGCTCCATTAGAATTAAATATGAGTCAACGATATCATGATTCACGAAGAAGATGAAGGGCCTCGCACGAGTTCAAAGTGTCGGGCAGCGTTCGCGTGTATGCGAACCTACATGTATTTTTCTAACATGTTACATATATTTTTCTAATTAAGTAAACTGTAATTATATCGCATATATAAATTAATAAGATTGGTACAAAAGTACACTAAGGTTTTGACAGATAGAGTTGCGTAGGAGAGGTTTCTTGCGCTTAATCACCTCTAAATTCCGCTACGACCTCTCAGTCCAACGAGCGGCCTTAATAAGTCTTTCGTCTCTTACCTTCCTCCTTTCACTTCCTTCCACCGCCCCACCATCCTACCTCACTGAGCACAATACATCGAAGCCTAATAAACAGCCGAATAAAATAGCGAATCGTTATGCAACGTGCGAATGCGCGAACTCGCGGAGGTACGCGACACTCGGTTTTGTCCTCCCGCTAAGTTTGCACGTGCCTTCGCTCCTCGACCGCGGCACACGCGACGACGAAACGGGAAAGACGGGAGGAGGAAGGAAAAACCGAGGCGCAGTGTGTCGGATGGAGCTAAATAAAGTGGTCTGCCGGGAGTTCCGTAACGCGGTCAATCATAAGATCGTTGCTGGGCATCCCGCGGGATCGCTTACCGCTCTCGCGCGCTCCCCCGTCGGCCCCCGAAAATCTCCGAGTGTGCGCCCCGAAAAAATGCCGGGGTTGGAGGGTTGGCTCCTGTGGGCTTAGAAGATCCCGTTTGCGGCGAGTTGAGATTAATCACTCTTTATCGAAGGCCGAAGGACTCGTGGCATGTCGTTTCTCGCACCCGTACGTTGACTTGGTCAGGTTCGCTGAAATTACCGTTGTTCTCTATTAATTCTGCCGGCTTCAAATTCAGGGCCACGACGACGATGATGTGCAACTTTCGTCCATTGAAGGCGGCGAGCGCTAAGTACTTGGATGATCGTGGCCGGAACTCGTTATTTGTCGCCGCTCGGCATATCATTGCATTTGAAGCGCTAAGGATGCGCGAGTGCACAGTGCAACGAAGTCAACGCTAAAATTTTAAAATAATCCATGATTTGACTTTCTCAAACTGGATAAATCTGAAATGTAATGTTTCGGCTATCTCCTATTTTACGTTCGAGGCGTAAATTTTATTTCCCAAGTTTAATTACCACGGACAAGGTAAATTATAAAGAGAAGGAATCAATTTTTCCGCTTTTTTTGCGTACGATATTAGTAATGTATAATTATAGGTGCCATTTATTATGCAGTTAATAGTAATATTGATTTCTTTAGAATTGGGATAACAAAACTAAATTCATACTCTACGCCATACATTTTCTTTGTACACATATATTTTCTATTCTCATTTTCTAACCTTATGCGAGCATGGGTCACGTACGGTTACATAACAAAATATGCACATAAAGTTAAGTACATTTTTTTCGGATTCATATGTATAAGTTATAACACACTCTTAATAATTACATCGGCATATGCATTAATGTGCATGTATGTAAGTCCGCGTGTGTGCGTGTATGCGTGTGTGCGTGCGTGCGCAGGCGCGCGCGTGTGTCTCTGTGTAAGTGTGTGTGCGTGCCCACGTGCGTGTATGTGTCTCTGTGTGAGTGTGTGTGCGTGCCTACGTGCGGGTGCTTGTGTGCTCGTGCGCTCGTGTGCGTATGTAAACACACGTGTATACAGAAAAGTGGTTATCAATTATGAATATTATGAAAATTCATTGATATTTGAATGTAATGAAGCTTATAGTTGAAATTCAATCCGCTCTAGTCTATTGGCTTATTAGCAATTCAATAATGAAAAAATTGTAAAATTACATTATCGATATGCTTAGAAGTTTAATCTAAATTAACTTGTCGTTCGATAATGCGCGAAAAAAATGCAAAAAAAAAATACTAAGTCGGTAGCAGCTCGTACTCATACATGCGATTGTAAATTGAAATTGCTCTTTTATCGTAAATATATTATCTTCGAAACTGTCACGCACTTTCATGATAAATACGCCGCTTTGCGCATGTATACATTAATTCCGTTTTCTGCGATAGAAAAAACCTTATTTATAAAGAGCGCTCATGTTTGTTCCTCGTAGCGCTCGGGCAACTGGGGTTTTCCCGTCGATTACAAAATCCCTATAAGTCAAAGGGAATGTCGATCGCCTACCCTACACCATGGACACGAGCAGCCGTTTCACTCACTCTCTCACTCTCACTCTCTCTCTCTCTCTCTCTCTCTCTCTCTCTCTCTCTCCCTCTATCTCTCTCCTTCCCTCCATACGCAATACGGCAGACGACGGCTGGTCAGAGCATTTCCTCGTTCCTTCGGCGAGTTGTAAATTTTTTCTCGTGTTCCTGGCCAATGCATTTAGGCGCGCGCAGCGCATACCGATGCGACGCTATTGGTTTAGGCGCTGCGAAAAATCGCGAGAGCGATTTTACGCGGCTGCACCGCGGGCTCGTCAAACTCCATTAATGGATGATCGTTAAAAGACTCATATCTGTCTGTATCTTTTTCCATATGCGCAATGTGTGTGCGTATATGTGTGCGCATAAATGAGTACGGGGAGAAGGTTGGCCTTTATTTTTCCTTTTCACCCCTTGCAGTTTGGTGTACGGCGCGGACTCCGATAAGAACGAACCGAGGCAAAAAATGACTCCATCCACGTATTCGACATACTTAAAAGCAGGCGGGTGCATCTTCTCGAATTATGATTAGGCGCTTCTCGCTTTCTTTTACCTTCATTAATTGAGATTGTTTTTTTTTATTTTTTTTTTTTCGAGGGCAAAGGGAAATGCATGAATGCATGAGGGTGTGATTTATCGGAAGCCTTTAATTTCAAAGCGAGACGATCGATTTTAATCGACTCCATTATAAAGGTTCGTATGATTTTCGCAATCCAAATAATAATATGTGACTGTGATTGGCTCGTTTAGAAAGATACACACAATTTTCGAAAATAATGTTCGCACATCGATCATGTGTTATCGACGCATGCGAGGAGGTGATGAGCGCACGACGCTGTATATGTTTCTCAGCAGATATTCGCAGGTTCGAAATAAAAAGGATCGATCGCTGATGGTAATTTGCAATTGTACGATTGTAAGAAAAAGCGAGATGGCAGGAAAGTACTCTTATTAACTCCAAGGTTCCATTGATTTAGCGTCCGATGCAACTATTAAGAAGTAATCACCGAAACCTTGAGCATACAATGAAAAACATTACTAACTTGCTACTGAAAAACATTGACGCAGTCGAGAGAAAAAGCGTGATTTTGAAACGATGATCGCAACGCCAAGTCTCTGCGTTTGGCGTCAGTGCAAGAGCGTCTTCTGATGGGATAAAGAAGCGGCCAGGAATCTGCAAACCGCGTCGAAAAGACAGGATGCGCGAGGAATCAAGAGGGAATGAAAGAAAAAGAGGAAGGAAGCGGGGATGGCAGGGACAGCAGTGTCGAGGGCGAAGGATAGTCCTCCTCCCCACGTACATAGCTATACGCGTACAGGACGACGGGGCGAGGAGGGGGAAGGACGTAAAGAGAGAAGGA